TAATTGCGGGTACCTGACGACCCTCTAATCGAGTCAATGCTTGAAATCTCCGTAGACTAGGTATGGAATAAGAAAAGGTAAAAACTAGCAAAAAGTTTGATGGGGATGATAAATATATTGTTTTAGGCTCTCCCACCACATATTCATACTCATCTCGTTGTTTTCGTATATGTCTTCGGCTCATTGAGGACATGATTATCGGTTCTAACTGTGAGGATGAGCATAATCGGTTAGGCGGTTAACTATTTAACCGTCGGTATTAATTAGCTAAATTTAATTAAAGTTAACCAACAATTTACTTTTTAATAGATTATCAGTATAACCATTAACCACCGATTACCAATTCGATTATCGATTACACCACTAACAAGATAATTGTCTAACATTCCTAATCAAACCAATCCAAACTGCAAAAGACATTAATATATATATATATATATATATATGGTGACGTATTCGGTGCACCCACTTTTTTGGGTGCATTCAGTGCACTCACTTCATAACCGTCATTTTAAACATGCGATTCAAGTCAAAATGATGTCAATCATCACTTATGATGTGATGAACAATAACGCACATGAATTTGCACAAAAACCACCAAAGATTTACTTTAATTTGAAGGATTTAGAGTTTAGAGATTTAGGGTTAGGGTTAGGGTTTACAATTTGGGGTTTAGGGATAGAACTCAAAATTGGAGGTCTAGGGCATAGGGTAATCCGCTAATTAGTTGTTATCTTATGTTATATCATCATATTACACTAATCTACAAATTCAAATTCAAATTCGACACCTTAAGACTAGTTTTTGAGTTGGGTGCATTGAACGCACTCATTTTTGTGAGTGCACCGAAGTAGTCACCATATATATATTAATTAATATATAAAGTCTAGCATGAGAGTTACTATTCATTAGGGGCTCTCACACTCCCCCAAGTACAAGTGGGGAAGTTTCAAGTCTTTCTTTTACCCCACTCTCCATTCTACAACCTTTGTGTTTAGTTATTGTTCGCTATGTTTTCGTCTATGGCTTTTTGCACAAATCATCGCCTTTGTGTTTATTTATTATTTGCTAGGTTTTCGTCTATGGTTTTTGCACAAATCATCACCTTTGCCCACCATTTTGCAGCCCATCTCGAAACACTGTCGGCGGAATCCTAAGTTGTTCCCAACCACCGTTACCCAAGGCCGCTACCACGAGTTTTGTATCGGGACCGAGTTTCATACTCTTTAGTGTTTTTTTCTTTCTTTTTTTACTTTTTGTTTAGCATGATCACAATTGAACTCGAACAAATGGGTATCCTAACTTGAACACAAATTATCGCATTTGCCCATCATTTTGCGGCCCATCTCGAAATACTGTCGGCAGAATCCTAAATTGTCCCCCCATCGTTTCCCAAGACCACTACCATGAGTTTTGTATCAGGACCGAGTTTCATACTCTTTAGTGCTTTTTCTTTCTTTTTTTCTTTTTTGTTGAGCATGATCACAATTTAACCCAAATTCATGTGTATCCAACCTAATTCGATCCAGTCAAAGCGACTTGAAACAGACTTTAGCATTTATAAATTTCTTTTTTCTTCTTCTTTTGGTTGGGAAGACAATTGAACCCCGAATATAAGGTTTTGACGAGTGTTGTATTGTGAGCGAGTTTTATCCGCTTTTGAAGTTGGCAGGTTGGACCAAATGTTAATTTGTTAAAAAATTGTTCAAAGCGAGTTGAACACGTTGTTGACAAGTTTTAGATCGAAAGCAAGTTTTTTACGCTTTAATTATTTTATTTCTCATTATCCTTTTCGTTGAGAATGTCAATTGAACTCTGACGTATCGTTGACGCGTTTCGTATCGAGAGCGAGTCGTATCCTCTTTTGTAATTGACAGGTTTGGTAAATTGTGAATTTGTTAAAATTGGATCGATCTGGTCAAAGCGAGTTGAACACAGTGTTGAGAGTTTGGGGTCATGAGCGAGTTTTAGCCGCTTTAGTATTTTTTTTTTTATCTTTTCCCTTTGGTTGAGAATGACAATTGAGTCCAAACGCATGGGTATACAATCTAATTTGACCCGACCAAAGCGACTTGAACCCAATTTTACAGGTTTTCGACTGGAGGGAGTTTTATTATAATTGGCGTGTTGCGTTAGGTGTGAATTTGTCTAAAACTCGGTCCAACCAGGTCAAAGCGAGTTGAAACTGGTGTTGACGAGTTTTGAGTCGGTATCGAGTTTTAGCTTTTTCCTTTTGTTTGAGAAAGACAATTGAACCCAAATCCATGGGTATCCAACCTAATTTGACCCGATCCATGAGAGTTGAACCTCCTCAAACCTGCAATCAGTCCAAAAATTTCATAAAGGAGAACCACGATTACCTCAAACCAAAAAAAAAAAAAAGTCATACGAATTGAAACATTAGCGTCATGAAAGAAGTTATAACATAAATAATATATTCGACGACCATTTTACCTTGTGCAAGTTCATCGGCCATATGCTATTGTAAATAACAAACCTATGAAAAGAATGAAATAAGCTTACTTTCACTTTTGGGTCAACATTAAAACTAAAACTTTTTAAAATATTTTTTTGATACGCAAAGCAATAGCGAGTGAACTTTTGCTAGTAACCATTATGATGAAGCATCCAAGAGAACACGAACCAAAACCTTCGAAATCTTTTTAATATAAGGATGAAATCAATTAATAATTTAAAAACTTGGAAACAAAGTGTAGAAACAGAAGGGAAATTCTCGATGTGAGACTACCAAATGGGATGAAACAAAAGGAACAAGTTATCTGCAAACTCTATTACTGTTCTTTGGCTTTTCAAACACGAGGCAAGACCGCAAGAGTTCATGGCTGGGAGATGCAACTTGTTTCCATGGGCAGCTTCCTCAGCAAATGAGTCTTAATGTACAAGAACCATAATTTTGAGTTGATAGTTCCCCATAATAAACATTGGTTATGTACATAATTGTGTTCTTAGGTCTCATGGCTTAAACTCTATCCCTATACCCTCGCCAAAGTGCAAGTAGAGGTGAAAATCGGTCGGTAACACCGTATCGATACTCCGGCACCAAATATCGAATAATACACTAAAATCAATCACAATCACAAATTAAATTCAGTATTTCAAATAAATTTCTTCTAATTAATAATTAAATATATGGGAAAAAAATATAATAGTTTGGACACCTCTAATCTCGAGCATTTTTATATGGTACAGACTTGTAGGTTTAATTTCATGATTAAAAATATTGGTGACGGGAAGTTGAGACGAGAAAAGTCTATAAAAGCTAGTCAAATTCCCTATTGAATGGATTCAAGCGAAGTTTCAATTGAATGGATTGATTCATCACAGGTTCTCCTTTCGGGTTAAGAGACTAAACAAATGATATTGAGTTTTCCGAAATCTCAAGCAAGGAAAAGGGGAAGGTTGTATATTATAATATTATTACCCTTGATATCTTTGATTCGATGGATTAGAGGCTGATAGACCATTAATGAGGTTGCGCTTTTGGTGTTATGAAAATAACAAAAGATTTTTTTTTTTTGAAATCTGACCTGTATTCAAAATTTAATCAAAGTCTAGTGTTACAGAGCCATCCGCTAAAAGTTTAGGTACTAAAAAATTGGAGAAATTTTTTGATTCTTCTAGTTGACACCGGACTCTCGCCATCGAGATATTAATCTAGCATCAGCAAAAAAGGCAAAAAGAGAAAGAGAAATCTTAAGTAGACGTTTTTTTCTTTCTTATGAAGCAAGATGGGTTAGAGAGTAAATACATAGATAATGAATAGTACTGAACGATTTTTAAACAATAGATGTCTTTCACATCCAACGAGAACAATAAAAAAAACCTCTTTATTTTCAAATGGCAGTTCCAAAAAAGCGTACTTCTATATCAAAAAAGCGTATTTGAAAAAATATTTGGAAAAGAAAGGGATATCGAGAGAATAAAGTGAAATATTAAAATCTAGAAAACCAAAATTGGTTAGATAGGGGCCCGTGAGTTGTCAAAGAGTGAGAAATAACCAGAAGGCATAAGCTATGTATTATAATCTATTAATTGTAAATTATCAATATTTCTCAATGTCGTAATCCTAAATGGTGATAACAGTGAAAAATAATCTCAATCCCTAAACAATAACTCGACATTCAATAAATTCAAATAGTAATAAATTTGATACAACAATATCCCAAATACTCCTACTCAACTTCCAGCGCTATAAACAAAATACTTTAAGAGCTCCGAGCTTTTCAGAAGGAAAATTTTCCTGCGACTACGACTAGGGTTTTCCCATGGCGGCGCCGCCGCCGCCGCACAAGATGCCCATGCTGGCGTCGAAACCTCCTGATAATGTGGCAGGAACCCATCGCCCACCTACTGGATCGTCATCACCGAATGGTAAGGGAGAAGCTGAGACGCAACAACAAAAGAAGAGGGTTAGAGGCATGGACATGCGCAGCAACTAACGCTTCGGAACTTCGGCTCCGGGAGGGAAACCTCAAAGCTCCTCAACGGACGAACCCATGTTTGAGGCTGGGACAGCTCGTGGAGCTTGGAGGAGCGGGAGACGGCTCTTTGCTAATATGGAGGAAGATGAAGGTTGGTATGTAGCCGATTCTGATTCAAAAGATATAGCGGCAGCTGAAAAGGAAGAGAATGATCTGATTATCGAGGAGGAAGAGGACCCAGCTAGCCCGACAGTGGCTTTTACGACGGCTGAGAAACGCTCGATGAGGAGGGAATGGCGCTTAGCGTTAGTGGTGAAAGGGATGGGTAGGAAAGTCTCATAGCTTCCTCTCACTAAACGATTGAACTATTTGTGGTCTCGAAACGGAGACCCCCAAATATCAGACATGAAGAATGGTTGCTTCTTGGTTAGGTTTTGAAAGAAGGAGGATTACGAATGGGCTGTTGAAGGGGGACCGTGGTTACTGGGGGAAACGTACTTGACTGTCCACAGGTGGTACAGGGATTTTAATCCCTGGAAAGCATAAGCAAAGTCGACCATGGTCTGGGTTCAACTACCTGATCTCCCACCGGAGTTCTTCAATCAATTGGCGGTCATGCGTATTGCTGAACGCATTGGCAAACCTTTTAGAGTGGATATAGCTACGTTAGAGGGAGCAAGGATGAATTACGCTCGGGTTTGCGTGGAGGTTGATTTAACGAGACAACTCCTATCGAAATATAAAGTGGAGGTGTGGAGTATATGATCACTTATGAGGGACTTTTCAGTGTTTGTTTCGACTGTGGAAGGTATGGGGCAAAGACAAGCGCTTGCTCATGCAAACTTCCGACCCCAGTGGAAACTGTCCAAGAGGAGGTGGAGACTATGGCGACTGTGGGTGGCCAGGAGATTAACCAAAAGCCCCCGCTGTATGGAGAATGGATGATCGCGAGGCGGAAAAATAGAAAACCTTCCATGAAGCCTTCCAATGCGAATAATACTTAGGTCCCACGTAAAGCTTCTGGGAATCAGTAGGAAGTTCTATCAAAAGAAACTGGTGACAACGAGGAAAAGAAAGCGGTAGGGAGTAAGGGGACAATAGTGAGAACGGAAGTTCCGAGTGGTAACGAGCACGTGGAAACACAAGGACAGAAGAAGGTGGGCGGAAAGAAGAGTCAGGAGAACCAACAGGAAAAAAGAGTGGTTACTCTGGGAAATAATGAAAAGAATGCACAGGACTTAAGGTCAGGCAGAGAGGTGGAGAAGGATAAACAAACACAGTTAAATCTCAAAGCTAATCCACCGGGTGCTAGACCTGCTCATGCTAGTGAGATAAAGCTTGGAAAGGACAAGAAAGGAAATAAGAATCTGAATGGTGCGGGAAACCGATCCCCTTTGGGTCATTAATGCGACTACTAAGCTATAACTATCATGGTTTGGGGAGTACACGCGCAGTTAGATCTTTGAAGTCGCTATTGCGACAAACTTCCCCTCATATCGTCCTCTTAATGGAGACGAAACAGACAGAGAAAGAGAATGAAGAAACTCGAAAGGAGCTTGGCTTCGAGAATGGCGAAAGCTAGTAGGCAATTATTACCCCACGAAGCAGGGTAGGGGGTGTGTGTTTGTGGTGGAGGGAAGAGCTGCAAGTAACGGTTATGTCTGGTTCACTTCATCACATTGATAGTAAAATTGTCAAGGATACATATGACACTTGGAGATTCTCAGGTATCTATGGGTGGCCGGAGGGAAGTGAGAAGTGGAGGACTTGGGAGCTTGTTCGACATTTAGCAGGGCAATGAGAAGGTCCGTGGCTATGCAGAGGTGATTTCAACCAGGTGCGGGCGAATGAGGAAAAGGTTGGAGGAAACAGTCCGAGTGTGGCTGAGATGGGCGCCTTTAATGATTGTCTAACGGAGGTGGGACTGCAAAACTTGGGATTCCAAGGTTATACGTTCACCTGGGAGAATTCGCGACAACAGGGTGGTTATATCGAGGAAGTGTTGGATAGGCTTGTGGGATCGGATGAATGGAGGGACAAGTTTCAAAATGTGCAGGTCCTCCACCTCGATAAACTAAGATAAGAGAACAAGCCGATCATTTGTGACAGCTTGGGAGAGGAAGATGTTGAGCCATCATGGGACTGGTCCTTTTGTTTTGACCCTATCTTGACTAAACACAATGAATTTCCAAGTGTGATTAGGGAGGTGTGGCAGTTGGGGGGAGCAAGTGGGAATTTTGAAAGAATGGAGCAATGTCGAGACCTCCTTGGACAGTGGGGCAAAAGGGCCTTTCCAAACTTTAGGCACCAGAGAAGGAAGATCACCAGAGCCCTTCGCATGCTTGAAATGGCCCACAAGACGGTTCTCGAGCAAAGGAGGGTGCTAGAATCTGGACTAGAAGAGTTGGAGGCGAATGAAGAGGAATATTGGGAACAAAGAATTCGGGTTGATTATCTAAGAGGAGGTGACAAGAATACGCAGTTTTTCCACAGGAAAGCTTTTGCTCGCCGCAAGCGTAATACTATAAAAAAAACTCAGAAATGACGACGGTCAGTGGTACATAGGAACTGAAGCTCCATCGGAATGCTTGGTTAATTACTTTAGGCAATTATTTAAAGCATCTGAGGCACCAGCCAATTCCCTAGTCCTGGATTCGGTGGAGACGAGGGTCAATGCGGCGGACAATGAGTTGTTGATGTGTCCTGTAACCAGGGAAGAAGTGTTAGGTGCGTTGAAACATATGGGGTCCCGTAAAGCCCCAGGAGCATACAGTTTTTTCGGCCCTCTTCTTCAAAAGGTATTGGGAGATTGTTGGAGACAAGGTCACAGCTACTGTTCTCAATATCATCGAGGGAGGTTCAATTCCGACATCTCTCAATGAGATACTGATTGTGTTGATCCCAAAGGTTAAAACCCCTACGAGACCAGGAGAATTCAGGCCCATAAGTTTGTGCAATGTCCTCTAAAATTGGTGGCGAAGGTTCTTGCAAATTGGCTTAAAGTGATCTTGGATAAAATTATTGATCCTGCCCAAAGTGCGTTTGTTCCGGGACGAGTCATCTCAGATAATATTATGGTTGCATTTGAGTGCTTTCACTCGATGAAAAAGAGGGAAAAGGGACGTGTTGGTGTGGCGGCGGCAAAAATTGATATGACTAAAGCTTATGACAGGGTGGAGTGGCATTTCTTGGAGGGAATAATGAGGAAGTTGGTTTCGATGAACGTTGGGTGGAAAGAATCATGATGTGTGTTCGCTCTGTGTCTTATTCGGTGCTTGTGAATGGCCATAGATCGGAAACTATTTGGCATGAGCGGGGTCTGAAACAGTGAGATCCCCTCTCGCCTTATTTGTTTATGATTTGTGCAGAAGGGGTATCATCGTATACGAAGAAGGCGGTCGAGGATGTGAGAATCCACGGTTTCCAACCGACGCGCAGGTCACTAGTGGTGTCGCACCTGTTTTTTGCTGACGACAGTGATTTCTTTTTCAGGGCCACGGTACAGGAGAGTAAAGAGTTAAAAATTATTCTGAAGGATTACGAGCGCGAATCGGGACAACTTGTTAATTTCCAGAAATCAAACGTCTCCTTCAGTCCTAATGTCAAGACGCACAGGAGGTTGGAGGTGGGAGATGTCTTGGGTATGAAATGTGTCTTGAAGTATGATAAATATTTGGGATTAGCTACTAAGGCTGGAAGGTCAAAGAAGGAGCTTTTCCTGGAAATCAGAGAACGGATCAGGAAAAAGCTGAAGGCCTGGAAGGAAAGAACAATGTCATCTGCAGCACGGGAAGTCTTGATTAAGTCGGTTGCACAGGCTCAGCTTACGTATGCGATGGGTGTGTTCCGGGTTCCTGACGGTGTTGTTGATGAAATTAACAGTCTGATTACAAATTTTAGGTGGGGTCAAAAAGGGAGGGGAAAGGCGGGCCCATTGGATTAGTCAGGAGGAACTAACGATGCCTAAGGAAGAAGGAGGGATGGGATTCCAAGACCTGAGAGGATTTAACACAACGCTCCTAGCAAAACAACTTTGACGACTCTCGCAGAGGCTGGATTCTTTGGCGGCTCGTATTTATAAAGCCAAGTACCATAAGAATTCAACGATCCTGGTAGCACACTGTGGATGTAACCCAAGTTATATATGACGCTCGCTAATGAGTTCGCATGATTTTTTGTGCGATGGGCTACGGTGGAGGATCGGTAATGGATCGATGGTGAGGATTTGGAGCGATAGGTGGATTCCCACTACTGCTGGTATGTATGTCCCGTCGGCTCCGATGGGCTTCCCGGTTGATTCACTTGTTCGTGACTTAATTGAGCCGGAGAGCAACCAGTGGGACTCAGGTTTACTCGCGAGCTTCTTCCATGCGGAAGTAGCAGACGTGACTCGCTATGACACAACACCCAACAATGGCCAAGTGTAACCAATGGAAGGGACTGCAGTATAGTGGCTCAAGTGATAAATATCGAATCCACAGGTCTCTAGAGTTACTATTACTCAGCTTCAGTTTATTATTTAGCAAACCAGATCAAGATGAAAGAACTAAAACTACTCTAGCAAACTACAGTTAAAGTTAATCTAATTACAGGTTGGGAACTCACTTAGGTATGATTCCCCCTAGCCACTAGCCAGATTAATGATTGATGATCTCTAACCTGTTTCACTTTCATTCACAATGCGGAGAATCCTTGACTAGACCTTGAGTCTCGACTAAAGGAACAAGGCCCTCTTGAGTCAATTGCCTAGAGGGACGTATCCTTCTCTAGAACAACTGATCAAGGCGTTCTGAACTAGACTCCCTCTATCGAAAGAGGTTCTCAATCGATACAAAGCAGTGAATCAACCCTTGACTAAAGCAATCAATCCACTACTATCAATCTATGGTGCTCTATTGACCTAATCAGGTATTCCCTCTCATAGGATCAAAGCAGAATCAATAATCTCGACTAAAGCAGAATTGAATCATGAAAACATGCATAGATTGAATATGAACTCAAGATTATCAAGTCAGAGTACTCATACAATCATCCAATCAAACAAAAATAGCTAGGGTTCTTCAAAACCTAAGTGAAGGGAAGTTACTCCATAGAGAAGAGAGAGACTGCAGTAAGAATCTTCAGATGATCAGTCTTCAAGTCCGGGCTTGTTCCTCGAGCTTCCAAGGCGAAGAAATCCTCCAATTCCACTCCAAGAATGCCCTCAAATCGCCCTCTCTCTCTTTGGTTCGTCCCTTGGGTGTTTGGGATCCAAAATCCAGCTCTCTTCTTCTCCTTTGGCTGAAAATCGGGTTTTAAGCAGAAAATCCCGACTCACACGGGCAGGGTGGCACGGCCGTGTGGCTTACCCAGTTGCCCGTGTGAGTCAAAACGGTGCGTTCCAATTAGTTCGAATTCCAGGCTCTTTGCACGGCCAGAGTGGCACGGCCGTGTGAACTTCCTCTTTGCCCGTGTTTGCTCACGTAGAATTCCACACGGCCAGACTGGCCTCTTGCACGGCCGTGTGGATGTCCTGCTCTGCCCGTGTTTGCTCTCGGCGAAACTCGCACGGCCAGACTACTCCTTCACACGGCCGTGTGATCATCAGGGCAGCCTGTGTGACCTCCTTTGTGACTTGTCTCGCACCCGATCTTCGCCCAATCGACCCCGAACTCGCTCCTAAACCTTCATTCACTTGCCAGGACCTGAAATATCACAAACAAGCACAACCTAGCGTGAAATCGGTCTAAAACACGAGAAACCACCTCTCAAACGGTGTAAGAACAGGGGTGAAAACATGTGTAAGTAACGGTCTATCAAACTCCCCCACACTTAACCGTTTGCTTGTCCCCAAGCAAACCTAACTCAAACCAATGCAACTCTCCAGACCTCTATAGCAACAAACAACCCAGATCGTAGGTAGAGGACTTCCTAGATCATTTAGCAACTTACGAGGTCAACCGACGCACAAGTCATCTCATAACTTCTTCGGCGAGTCGGCATCATGGCAAATAGTGAACAGAGGACAAATGAATTGTGGATGAAGAGATTCTCAAAAACAACAGATCATGGACTCACATTTTTCAAGGTGCTCTATTTTCTGCTTAAGGATGGTTGGAACCCCTTTTCTTTCTATTATGCTTGTTTTCTCTTATTTTTCTTTTCTTTTTTTCTTTTTCAAGGGTCCCAACCTGCTCTTACCGGCCATGCCAGGAGCGGATGTCTCGAGCCTCGTGCGGGGGAAAGACATGTAAAGGGGCTGGAGGTAGTAGGTGGAAATTGGGAACGAATTCCCGTCTCCCCTTACACACTTTCGCCCTATTCGCACGGGAGACGTTTATTTTGAAGCACATTTTCGAGCACCTGTTATTTTCAAAACATGATACAAGAGTCCATGACAGGCAGAGAATCCACAACACCACACAATTCAAGGGTCCTAAGATCACTAATTCACTCAATCAACCAACTCAATATGAAGAAGAAATGAGACTCCTTAAATGCATCAACATCCTCCATAGTGCTACACTACCTCCCTAGGTTGTATATTACTATAAAGACTGTTAATTCAAAGCATACTGAGCAGGCAATTGCAAGGAACACATACTTGGAGCCCTCAAATTTAAAAATTTGGACAGTGGACTAGGCTCCAAGCACACAAACAGCCAAACATTCACCCGCATACATAATCGAACATCCCCCCACACTTAAGCACGACATTGTCCTCAATGGAGGAAAGATAAGGAGGGTAGAATGAAGTTACCAGATCAAGGGTGAATGATGATGAACGGGTCAGGCGGTGCCATCCAGAAAGAGAGAGTAATCAGAACACAAACACCACACAAAATCTCACAAAGGTTGAGTTATTGACTCTAAAATCAAATAGCAAACTGACTCAACCGAGGAGAAATAGAGACAGAAATGCAAACCGACTGGTTGGGTTGCCTCCCAACAAGCGCTTCTTTCACGTCGTGAGCCGGACGATGGCTCCTAAGTTTCGGTCCATGCTAGAACCTCCTTGAATTTGAGGTTCTCGTCGATGAGGTGGAGTCTCAAGTCATGAGCATGTGGTGTGGCAGGTGATGAAGGCTCATGTACTTGATGCAGATGAAGTCTCCACCCTCGAGACCTCTTCTTCTCTTCTCTCGTCTCATTGCCCCAAACCAGATATGACAGTATCGATTGGCCACCATCGCGTCCACCAAGAGGGACTGATGTCGAGGTGGCCTTGGTCTGGCAAAGAGACACTACAAATGGGTCCTTGCTAAGCAGTTCCTCGAAGTTTGGTGGAGATATCACATGTAACTCATGGCCGGTGCATGCCTCTTCCACCTCAACTTCATCCTCAGCCTGGACGCCAATTGCTTCTTTAACCTCCCTTCCTTCTTCATGTGGTATCACCCCTGGGAAATGATCAAGAACTTCTCCAATTGCTATGACACAACACCCGACAATGGCCAAGTGTAACCAATGGAAGGGACTGCAGTATAGTGGCTCAAGTGATAAATATCGAATCCACGGGTCTCTAGAGTTACTATTACTCAGCTTCAGTTTATTATTTAGCAAACCAGATCAAGATGGAAGAACTAAAACTACTCTAGCAAACTACAGTTAAAGTTAATCTAATTACAGGTTGGGAACTCACTTAGGTATGATTCCCCCTAGCCACTAGCCAGATTAATGATTGATGATCTCTAACCTGTTTCACTTTCATTCACAATGTTGAGAATCCTTGACTAGACCTTGAGTCTCGACTAAAGGAACAAGGCCCTCTTGAGTCAATTGCCTAGAGGGACGTATCCTTCTCTAGAACAACTGATCAAGGCGTTCTGAACTAGACTCCCTCTATCGAAAGAGGTTCTCAATCGATACAAAGCAGTGAATCAACCCTTGACTAAAGCAATCGATCCACTACTATCAATCTATGGTGCTCTATTGACCTAATCAGGTATTCCCTCTCATAGGATCAAAGCAGAATCAATAATCTCGACTAAAGCAGAATTGAATCATGAAAACATGCATAGATTGAATATGAACTCAAGATTATCAAGTCAGAGTACTCATACAATCATCCAATCAAACAAACATAGCTAGGGTTCTTCAAAACCTAAGTGAAGGGAAGTTACTCCATAGAGAAGAGAGAGACTGCAGTAAGAATCTTCAGATGATCAGTCTTCAAGTCCGGGCTTGTTCCTCGAGCTTCCAAGGCGAAGAAATCCTCCAATTCCACTCCAAGAATGCCCTCAAATCGCCCTCTCTCTCTTTGGTTCGTCCCTTGGGTGTTTGGGATCCAAAACCCAGCTCTCTTCTTCTCCTTTGGCTGAAAATCGGGTTTTAAGCAGAAAATCCCGACTCACACGGGCAGGGTGGCACGGCCGTGTGGCTTACCCAGTTGCCCGTGTGAGTCAAAACGGTGCGTTCCAATTAGTTCGAATTCCAGGCTCTTTGCACGGCCAGAGTGGCACGGCCGTGTGAACTTCCTCTTTGCCCGTGTTTGCTCACGTAGAATTCCACACGGCCAGACTGGCCTCTTGCACGGCCGTGTGGATGTCCTGCTCTGCCCGTGTTTGCTCTCGGCGAAACTCGCACGGCCAGACTACTCCTTCACACGGCCGTGTGATCATCAGGGCAGCCCGTGTGACCTCCTTTGTGACTTGTCTCGCGCCCGATCTTCGCCCAATCGACCCCGAACTCGCTCCTAAACCTTCATTCACTTGCCAGGACCTGAAATATCACAAACAAGCACAACCTAGCGTGAAATCGGTCTAAAACACGAGAAACCACCTCTCAAACGGTGTAAGAACAGGGGTGAAAACATGTGTAACTAGCGGTCTATCAAGACGCTATCCGTCAAATCCTGCTGCGGGGTGAACAAGAGCCTGATCTACTGATTTGGCATGATAGTAGAAATGAGGTGTACAGTGTCAAGGATGGGTACAGGAGGTGGCACAAGGAGTTTGCGCAGGAAAATGGGCTCTCTCTGCATGGGAACGTGAATGCATAGAAGAGGATGTGGTCCATGCAAACCCCGCCAAAGATTAAACAATTAATGTGGAGATTTATGAGAGACGCTCTACCTACAGGTGACCATATGAGTACTCGGAGTAACAAGTGGAGTGATAATGTCCCTTTTGCGACATGCTGGAGACACAAATCCACTTCTTCCAGGAGTGCAGCTGGACGGCTCGAGTTTGGAGGGCTTCGCCACTCATTGGGTGCTTTACAACTCGAGGAACCAATGATAATTTTGGTTGGGTCAATGCAGTGATGGCTTTCGTAGAGGATGATGTGTTGGAAGAATGGTGCAGCCTACTATGAGCTCTGTGGAGAGAACGTAATGCCCATTTGTTTAACAAAATAGCGATACGGGTGCACCTTTTGATTGAGGAGTATAAAAAACACCAGGCAAGATTCGAGGCCCCAGCTGGTGGACCGAGTGTCGCGCAAGGGAAGAGATGGAGGCGCCCAGATAAGGGTTGTACAGCGGTGGCGACGGACGCAAGTATCCTGCCCAATGGTAGGGTGAGTCTTGGAGTGGTTATCCGGGATGACGAAGAGTGTTCCTTCTCGCAGCAACTAAACGGGTACAGGGGAATTGGAGTGTGGAAATGGCAGAGGCTCTTGCTATGGAATTTGGCCCACAGCTAGCCTGGCAGATGCATTACTCAAGGACGATCATTGAATCGGATAGCCAGATGGTGGTGCACAGCCTCCAAGCAGTGGAGGATATCTTCACATGATTAGGCACTATATGTCGGAACGCGAGGAGATTTTTAGAACGTATGGAAGGGGAGCAAGTGAAGGTTCATATATAGGGAGGCTAATGAAGCTGCACACACTATGGCGCATGCACAGACGAATTGGAATGAGAGTGTTGTCTGGCTAGATAGACCCCCTGTCTATTTGGTGGATAGTTCGATTCTCGACAATGTAACTGAATCCGCTGATTAATATAAGCTATAGCAGATTTCCATTAAAAAAATTTCCAGCGCTATATATGAGTCTGGTTTAGTCAAGTCCAATCGGCCGCCCATCAAGTTTCTAGGCCCAATTTGGTATCAGTACGTACAGTAATGGCCCAACAAATTCTGTGGCACTTCCTTTTTGTATTTTCTTGCTTCTTGCAACCTTTTCCATGAACTTCCTTGTCCCATTATTGTCTCTTTGGTGTACTCGATTTAAGGTTCAACATTGAAGTGCAGTTTTTATAAGTGACATATTTTATATTTGGTCACTAAAAAAAGTCATAGTTGATGACGAGTTCCTAGCTAATCATATGGTTACTTTTGTACAACATTGTGAAAATTAATATCAATACGGATAAGTTGATGATAATATTTGGGAGCCAAAGTTCTAACAAGGATCCAAATTGATTTAAACAGGTAACATTACTTAAGCCCACCAATCTTTAATTAATCGGCCCCAAGTGTTGCACTAATTGGGATAATCGGTTATTACATGAACATTTCAATTTCATCAATACAATGACCTCAAATAGAACCAAAAAGACAACAAAATTAATGAAGAGGAAACAAAAGATAGGAACCGTTTCATATCATGAAAAGGAAAAATTAATATAAATTACAACCTATAACTTCCGAACTCTGCAATACCAATGCCCTTATTATAGTTATTGATCAATCTGCTCCAACCAAATCCCTCACCCACACTTCCTCTTTTTCTCAAGGAAATTTCAATGGGTTCAAATATTATGACGTTGCGGTCAGGACTCACAAAAGGCGTCCTAACTATAAGTCATGCGGCGGGCAGCTCCTTGTAAAATTTATAAGCAATGCCTCGGCCAAAATCAAAGCATAAAGAAACTTTAATGGAAAATCGTGCGAGCTCTTATATCGAAATCAGTAAATGCCTTGAACCTTCACGCTCTAGAACTGTACTCGACTCGAGAAAGTTTGGCCGAATCCCCAGTTGGCTGGTACGATATTATTGAACGTTCTCATCTCTCCATCGGTGGTTGTGATTTGGAACGACATGGGCTGCCCGTTGAGGTAAGAATTCGATTGCCAGTTCGCCCCCCAATTCCTCGACATGGGCAACCACCCTGTCTTGGAACCCTTGATGGAAACCGACCTGATAGATCCCGCTCCCGCCACGTTGGTGATGGTCACCAACTCGAAATAGTCCCTCCCGTTAATCTGGAACCTCACTCCCCCGTGCTTCTTACATGGCACCCTAAAACCGAAAGAAAGAAAAAAAACACAAGATGAGTTCCAAAGTGACCAAACTGTGAAGATAGTAAAAGCTTGGGTGCTAAATTGAAAATTTCTTCATTCAACTTCAACTTACCTTTGGTAGATGACAGGGATGATTCCACCTCTGTAGATCCCAATCTTCTCCCATGCCGGTTGAGCCATGTCGAAGTGCTTCAATGGCGGGTTGCACCAGCCACCGTTGTCATTGGCTTGCGCGAAATTTGGAGGACAGAAATTCGTTGCAGTGATCGTTATCGATCTGCCCTTAATGCACCATCTAGGGTCTGTTTTGTAGTCACATATGATCTTGTAGCACTCTCCACATGAGGCGCCGTCGTTGAACAGAGCTGTGCTTAGGGCAGCAGTCCTTGTGCCATACTTAGTCGAGTATAGGTTGCCATACCCACATGCCCCGCCTGCCACAATAATGGAGTAAGTTTGATGAAAAGATGAAAGAATTCATCGATACGTGACGTTTGTTTGTGAAGAAATTAAAAGTAATAACGGTCTTAATTATGCTATTTTTTTTGCTTTACATATTAAGGTAGAGTGATGATGAAAAGTGTTCTGAATCCAACATTTACACATTCAGTGTCTCATTTTTCAAAAAATAAAAACATATATTAAAAGAAAGAAGACATAACATTTTCTCGCTATTAGTTTTTACAGATAAGAGTAAGACTACGTACCCATGGTGCCGGAGGCGTCACTGCCGCCGTAGAAAGTGGCGTGGCCTTTGGTCCAAGCGGAAGCAGTGAAGGCATTGGCGACATTGGGAGCCAGAGAGATGCAGAGTAGTGCACATAGAAGAGGAAGCGCCATAGCCATGGCTTTTGCCATTGTTGCTGGGTATTGATGTTCAGCAGCAGAGGAAGAGAAAGTAAGAGAAGGAATCGGAGGTTTCTTTGAGGATTGGTACTTTACCAACTGTTTGGCTGATCCAAAGAAGGAGAAGAAGCATATATATAAGGGAAATTTCTGGGGGGGAGAGGACTTTTAATTTTGTTGATTAATGTATTTGATAACAATAACAATAAGAACAAACTCACATGGCAAGGTCTGAAAAAATGGGCAGTGGTAGTGTGGCTGATTGGAAGTAGCCAAACTGGCAAGTTGAGCTTGTGGGAAATTTTTATTTTCTAATAATGGGTTTGTAATAAATATTATTTTTCTGAATTTTTATCTCTGGCAATGAGATTTCTCTGGAATCAATTCCTAAAACAATTATTTGCACGTTCTCTCTCTCTTTTCACACACAAACATGAAGCTCACATTATCACATGCCCAAACATGAAAGCCGCGAATACTTCAAATCCACACCACCGACGAATTTCATTTCCCTCTTCTTATTTTCCATCAAATTTTGATTCCTTATTAACCCGATCATAACACCATATTATCGTTTCTTGACAATATGTTCATTTTATCGTATTAAAATCAACATAGTGAATAATTCAATCCAGTTACATTAGGTTGACTTATTCACAATGTTAATTCACACGAGTTCAAACTGCATGTTTCATGATCACAATATTATCACATAAAACTAACTATATTACATTAGGTTGTTTACTAATTAATTCTTGTTGAATTGAATTAAGTTAACTAGGGTTAGACGGTAAAGATACTACGAAGCAGCTAATCCTAGCTTCCCACCCAATCCTGGGATTGGCCTGACCTTGAACCACATGGCCATATGCCTCTATTTAACATTTTCTCTCCGTTGCACGTTATTATAAATATTCTGTGGGCTACACGAACTCACATGATACGTACTCTGAGGCAGCTGTGAGTTATTAATTATAGTTGGCGTAGAAGAAAGAACAACAACCAGCCAGCCGGTGGAGTGATGGGTTGGTCACATCTTTCAGATTAGTTGTATGATCTGATCTCAAACATGGGCTAAGATTTTCAGGGCCTTTCATTGGGCCCTTACTCACCGTTGATTGGGTATATATAGTGGGTCACTACGTTGCTTATCAATTCGTATATGAGAATTCCAAGTTGAAAATCAATACTAGCTAGTGACTCATTTCTTAATCATGCATACAGATTACGGAGTCTCACTCATCCGATTGATTCCCGCTAATAAGAATGAAATTCTCTTTCTTCTACATTTAATCATGCATACTATACTAGTGACTCATTACCACACGTTCTAATACTTTTCCGACGATATCAATACATGCATTATAATAATGTTAGAGAACAAGTTGAAGGAAATTGTAATTCCTCCTCGACCGAGGACGAGGGATTGCTCATCTTCGTCCCATCCCTAGCCGTAGTTAGCACGAGATCTCTGTGGAGTTAGAAAGGCGGTTAGTGTTGTACGTATTTTTGTGTTAATTAACTAATAGATTGATTGTGATGGGACCAAAAGCACATGCTAGTTAGCCCATGTATCAATCATCCGACAATCTTCTAGTTGTTTTTTGGTGCTGAGAATGCAGAGAAATGGACAAATTTGGTATCGAGGACGAGTTGCAGATGCAATCCAATCTTTTGTCTCATCCTTTCCAATGAAATATCGATATTGAAAGCTAACTATATATAAGAGAGTTAGTTAGTTAGTTACTTTACTTACCAATTGATATTGTTAAACCTTGAACATAATTTTTGACAAAGTAACGGTTTTATATTTGCATATGTACTACACATATTCAAGTGAATCAAGACATTATACCATATATGAATCTTATGGCCATTAAAGGGTTGTACATTCGAATTTTCCTAACCTCAAATATTTAAGTAAAACTGTATTAATTCACGCCCAAAATATGACAGATATGTGTAAATTTCAAACTCTATGATGAGTTGATTTCTCTTTTAAGGGAATTGTGTAATTAAGGATGAACGGTATGTGATTAATCAAATAATTTCTATAGTTTCAAATGTCTGAAGCAAGTCCCATTATAAATTTCTTTGATCTTATTAGATTAAACCTGCGGTTAAAATAGAACGCAGCTAATTAAAGTCTGACAATATATGCATATGGACTGCCGATTTCTGAATATAACAAAATGTGAAAAGAATGCAGCGACGTTGGGGGGAAGAAACAACCTGGTTGTTTCCTTCTGGGAATGAATTAATTAGTTCATGGGATCTGATTCTAAACAGGTGAAAAACTAGAAGATAGAAAACTCTTTGTCGAACGCGTTTGGGGAACATTATGATGGATAATTACTCCATTAAGTTTGATGGGATATCGTTGATGATAAATGCATTCCCGTGCTGTGTATCCTTTCTGTTCTCTATGAATCGGTTGATGTGTTTTGAATTATACTATCTAGCTATTACGGGATGTCATGAGCAGTGTTTTGGTGACCTAGAAACGTAAAGTACAAATTTTTAAGCTTTAAAGTGCGATTTTAATTACATTGGTCATAGGCAGTGACAGAGGGAGGTGGAAGGGAGTGGTGTTCTAGGACCCCACTTGAATAAATTAAAATGGCTATATGTATGCACACACTTGTTTAATTTGGGTAGATTTAGAATTAAGGACCCCATTCATATGAAATTTAATTGTCCTAGTATTATGAAACGCACAAATAAATTAGACTATATTAATCATATATCATTGAAAATCCCCAATTTTTCCTTATGCTAAAAATTTATAATTCTACTAAATATGTGTACAAAACCTCCATCTATATCTAAAAAGCTCTTAGTTCAACAAATTTTTCCTATCAATATACCATTTCTTTGTCATCAAATGTGTTTTATAAAACGATTTGTCTTTATTAGATTTTGTTTGGGAACTATTCATTCTAGCTAGTTATTGAAATGTCACTTTTTAATTATGAGTTACACAAAATGTAAGGTACAAATCTAATAACTAATGGTTTGATGAATGACTACTTGACTGGATATTTTTAAGAAAATTTACTTGATAATTGAATGCAATATTATAAGATTTTTCATAAATGGGACCCCACTAAACTCGAATCCTGGGTACGCCACTAGTCACAGGGTGTCATTGTGTTCAGATCCTGGTTGTAATTGTTTTTTTTTTCTTTATCATATGGGATTATGGTTACATCACATGGAGAAGTACTATAAATACTTCTCATACTCTTAATTTGTATCTCCTTGAAGTATAGTGAAACTGGCTCTTTCCTGCCTGCGGACTAGCTAACAAACATTGTATTAGTGAGCCACGTAAATTCGTGTGACTTTCTGTTTGTTCTTTTGTTCATATTCTTACTTTATTGTTCCTCCTATTTCCTAATCCGCAGAAAAACAGTCGTGATATCATCAATTAATGATTCCTTCATAGGTATAAGGCTGGACAAATATTTTATGATAACGAACAACCGAATATATAAGACTAAAACACCTCGAAAATAAAATTTACAACCTGAGGAAAGTTAGTTTTCTGAATGGTTAGCATTTTGACCAGTGGCGGAGGGAGAGTATAAGAGGGTGGGTCCCGTGACCCACCCTTGGTCGGATGGAATATGGTTAAATTAGATACAATAGTTAGTCGATACAAAAAATTAGGGGGCGTTTTATTGAGAATAGTTTATCGAAACGTGTTGTGTTTGAATCTTTGAGACATCATTTTTAAGCACATGGTATTTCAGTTTGTGCAACTTCAAACAACTCGATTTATTGATATTAAACGATTCTTAACAATGAACATCATTTAAAAACGAAAGATTAATTAAATCATGAATTATTATTTTGCGTAAGATTCATTATTATACTTCTCTCAACAACTCGAGTTGTTGATACTAAACATTTCTTGACAAAGAACGCCATTCAAAGAGAACGGCTAACTAAATTATTAATAATTGTTTGGTACACAGGGTGATAAATATGATAGTTTCGACTACTAACGTATGTTAATTTACCAAAAGATTTCAATATAAAATTATATCATGAATGATTAGCAAAGTTAATAAAAACTATTTTATCATGTGTATTTTTCTTCTAAATGGACCCACCTTAAACAAAATCCTGGCTACGTCACTGATTTTGACTAATTTGGTGCGAGATAAGAGTGACTTAGTTTAGTATCAAATAAAGAAGAAAGGACGAAAATCAGATTTTGAGACTTGGATTTTGTTTTAGCATGGTTTGGTTTTGATAGATTTGCTAGAATGAAATGGTCTTCGAAGTGTTAAGGAGTTTTCATAAATTACATAAAATTTATAAATGAAAATCTCTCAATAACTTCAGTTATAGGAAATAACTTATTTTTGAACATTATATCATTAAATTATATAAATTTATCATTTTGTGTGAAAATACATTTTCATTAGGGACGGGATACGGTGACAACCCCTAAGGAGGTTGTCAGATTGACAACCAAGGATATTTTGGGTATGAAAAAAAGGAATATATTAATTATCTTTTTGTATTAATTATATTGGGAATTAAAAACTCATATTGGGTATGAAATTTAAATCCTATACATTAATATCTCTATCTATCTCTCTCTTCCTTTCTCCAGCCAACCACTCCGCATCGACGGACAGACTTTTTCTCCGGCGAATTCTCTCCGGCAGACTCCCTCCGGCAACCTGAAAAATGTACCAGTACATTAAAAAGTATACCAATCCATTAGTCTACTGGTAATTAATATACCAGTGCTAGTGGTACGCTACCAGTGCGTTAAAAAATGTACCAGTGTTAGTGGTACGCTACCAGTACAGCAGTACCACTACCATATTGTATCGTACCACTAGCACTGGTAGTGTACCACTAGCATTGGTAGCGGTACCAGCAGAGAATAACACAAAAAAAAAACATATGGTAGTGGTACCAGATGATAGTGGTACGTTACCACTATCATTGGTACGTTACCAGAAGAAAAATGGTAACACTAAAAAACCAGA